ACATTTTATTTAAAGAAAATAGCAGTAACGCAGATCGATAAGAAAAGCGGATTATCTTGTATGCATCCCTCGGGCTAACATATATCACTGCACAACTTAGTTTTTTAAACGTGTTCCATGTGGTTTACCCATACTGACACAAGTGTACACGGATGAAAATATGACATCCAAACAATTCGTAAAATTTACTGATCAGGGTTTGTTGAAAATAACAAACCACTTTATGTGTATTATTAAATACACGAAACCATTTTTAAATTTAATTTGCCTCATGAAAATTCTCAGAATTTTATTGCTTGGAGCTCCTGTAAAAAATATTTAATCACTATTATTCGAGATATATATTTATAAAATAAGAGTAACAATAGATCTAGTCCCGCGGGCTCTCGAACAAAATGATTAATAGCAATAATTTCTTAAGTTACTTATAATGTTTTCAATTNTAATAAATACACGAAACCATTTTTAAATTTAATTTGCCACATGAAAATTCTCAGAATTTTATTGCTTGGAATTCCTGTAAAAAATATTTAATCACTATTATTCGATATATATATAATGAGAATAACAATAGATCTAGTCCCGCGGGCTCTCGAACAAAATGATTAATAGCAATAATTTCTTAAGTTACTTATAATGTTTTCAATTATTTAGTTGAAAGCTGGGAATTCTCGCTAAAAAGTTTAACTTAGACCAATCTTAACGCAGAGAAACTTGTTAAAGTGAAATATTGTTAGGAAATAGTAGTAAAAGTGTTTTTCTTGTGATTCGTACAGATAAAGTTGGACTCGTTCGTGTTATACTTCATAAAACGAGATGTCCGAGCAAAGTTTAAACAGTCGAATGATCTATTATACGAATGTTCTATATACAACATCATAAGCTAGTAAATTAAATTAGCGGCGACGAATACAATGGTGTATAATACATTTCATGTGTCAGATTATAAAACCCAAATCTAAATTTATCTTATATATTTTTGGAAACCAAGAAAATATATTGTCCTTATTTATTTACCGAGTTAATGCTACAATGCTTCTTTGGTAAATTAAATTGTATTTTTAGATTTGAAAAATTTGTCTTTTAAAACTATTAAAATAATTATATAAAGCTTAAATGCTAACAAACTTGATGAAGTATGAAAACGAGTTAAATAACGATTAAATAGATTTCATAGCCACACCTTTAAATACCATTAAACAAGAGAATTAAATTAGATTCATTCACTGAAAAAACAACTATTCGCATAAAATATAACTTTTTGATGTCGTCCACCAATTATTTTATTGCAAAACTCACACCGCGACAAAGTGCACAACAATATATACACACAACTATAATCTATAAGTATACATTTAAGTGCGTTTACCGGCCAGGCAAGCGGAAACTCGTAAAAAACCTTTAAAACTATACTCGGTTCGTTAAAAAGCAAAAGACCCACTGTTAAAAAATATAATGTCTTATAAAGTCGCTGTCATTTGAATAATTTAGGGTTCCCGGGGGACTTAATGAAATGCAAACCTGCCAAAGACGACGGAGAAAACATAACTTTATCGTGAGTCCTTATCAAAATTTAATATACGTGAATCGCATTTGAATTTATACAAACTTCCAATTCAAGTCTAGCTGAAATCAACAGCAGACTACTGCAGTCTTTGTCTGAATAATATTATTATTCAATAAAACTCGAGTTCCATTTTAAATCACATACGTACTACAAAGGGTTACAAAATAATAACACAGCGCGAACGTCTAATGATTAATCGAAGTGGTTAATTTTAAAGCTTGGCAACTCAACAAATTACAATATTATGGATTCACCCGCCTGATATCATTCAAACGATAGAAGGTATCTAGATTAGTGTATTTATTTACTTTAGTGCGTATAGTGAAAACAGAAACCAAAATAAACGTTTTTGAATTGAAAGGTTTCTCCTGTGTCATGATGATGAGCAATTTCTTGTATTCAATATCTTTATTTAAAGGATTTTTCCATCGTTCTATCACCTTACATAGTTTTGGGGAAAAAAAAAAACAGTTATCTTACACCACAACAGCTGACTGAAAAGTGAATTAATGAACTTTGGGATAAAAAAATAACAAACCTTTTTACCACTTCGGGAAAACTTTTTTTATGCGCTTCAATATTAACCGCCGCACAATGACGGACAGTGTAAATGTTTTAGATGAATACATTTTTACAATATTAAATTGTAATTTTTATCAAATTAGCGATTCTGTCTTTTAAATCATAAGAAAAAATTAATTTTGGATAGTCTAAGTAGTCACAATCGATTATTCTTAAAAATAATATTAGGCATTGCTAATGAAGAAGGTCATTTCAATTAGCCTTTGCCTAACTTATTAAATTAAGTTGATTAATTAAAATATCTAACGATTTCCATATTCATTAATTGTAGTAGATCAATTAAAAAGTAATGTGTTTTAGTACAATATAAATTAAAACTACAGTAATTGTCAAGAGACTTGTTTATAATTATAAAATTGATTTTATCATTTTATTTATTTTTTTAAACATTTTGTTATTATTTAATAACAAAATATTTTATAAAATTTATTTAAATAAATTTGACAGGTTTAATTGTAATTGAACAATCTCGATTGGCATAATATCTGTGCAGTGGTTTTTGGCACACGCAATAGACTTGGGTTAATATTATGCATAGTAAAATAGTTAAGTAGTAAAGGGTTAATACTTGTGAAAAGCACTTTAGTTTTATCATAAATAGCATTTGATCATAAAGTGAAATTCGTTAATTTATTTAAACCTAAATTGGAGTAACGCTAATATTTTATGTATAGTCTAAAGGTTCAGTTACAATAATAGTAACAATAATCGTAACAAACATACANGCCACATCCTCACTATGCTGCGAGAGCAATATGCCACCTTACTGTACTGGGTTTTTTTTTTGTTTATTTATTTATATATTATATAACATATAAATTTTATGTTATTATTATAATTCTGTGTATTTAATAAATGTATTATGTTATGTAGGGCTAAAAATTTGATTATACTATCTTTTCATGTAAATGTTAAAATCTTAAATAACAATGTAAGATAATATATAATGTAATGTTACTCTCTTTGACAAACTGTTATTAGTTTTAAACGAGTTTTTGGTGTTTTTGTAGCTAGTTAGTGGTGGTACTGTGAGTCACTTAATATTTATTTTTTATTAGTTATTTATTTTAGTGGTATAACTATCATTTATGGGGTATTTAAATTAAATTTACGTAAAAATTAAATTAAAATTTAGTTAGCTCGTCATCATTAGTGCACTAAACTAATTAAGTGTTTCATAGACTGTATTATTTTCTTAAGGCGACTCTACTTATTTCAAGGAAGCTCATATCTAAAAAAAACCCAGCACAGGGGGGACGTGGCACAGTCGTGACATAGCATAGTTGGATCAAGTATAATAATATCTGACAGTGATTAAAATCACTATAAAAAAAAAACGTTTTGATGTAAATCTATAGATAGCATTTAATTTTAAAAAATTTGTGGATTATTCCAAAAACTACATGATCAGCTAGATCCTTATTAATATCCCGATTAAGATAAAGTATGTCGAATGAAAAAGGGATTATTAAAAAATATTATTTCTCATAAAAAAATTGTATTGATCCATACACTTTTCAATAAATTTTAGCATTATATGGCAATTTTAATTAAAAAAAATTGAAAAAATATCGAAAATTAGCAATTTTTAAATTTGTAATTTTTTTGAAGGTTTATGATTTTTTGACTTATCAAAGAAATCGGTTCGGCGAGAGCTGAGAAAAAGTGGTAACAGACACAAAAAAAAAAAAACACATCATAGTGTCGTACGTCGGTTATGCTCCAACGTAGACACAAAAGTTTAACACAAATTAATTAATGTTCTTATATATATATATATCGACGACGAGTTTGTCGTTCGAGCTCTTTTTGAGTCTTCCCGTTGGATAAACTGATCAGCCCAAATCTCTCTAATTAGTGGATTACTGAAGGGGTAGAGTTTAGACCCGTCAGCACAGTCTAGCTCAAATGTAGCAGACTGAAGGGTGGCTCCTTGTCAGCCACCAGCACAACTACCTTTTTACTATACCCACTAAAGGACGGTTAAGCCCAAACACTAGCCAGCTCGTACACTAATTATTAAGATTGACTAAAGGACCAGCAGTCCAACCTAGACTCTAGCCGCACACACACACACATTCGAGATCACCGTGAATATAAAATATTTGCGCTAAGCCCAGATTTTTAAATAGTTATTTTATTTACGAAAAGTATTAAACACAAAGCCAAATATAATATAATAATTTAACACAAAAATTAATTAAATCTTACAAAAAGTATAAAGTTATTCTTACATCAACGACCTAACCCGTAACTCGACGTTTCTTCGACAAAACGTCCAGTCTCGTCTCGCCCAGTATCGTCCCCCTATACTTTTCATGTTTCCCTTTTATATTCTTTTTCCCACCATTATTAATTTGCTTACCCTGCATTTCTCTTTTATATGGAATTATTATATTGCTTAAGAGTTCAAAAATTGCTTACTACTATTGTAAAGCTTATATTATACTAAAATCGACGTAATTCAATACTTCCTCATCTAATTACTACAATAGTAAAACCAATACCTTCTCATCTTCGAATCGAAGCTAAAAATGTTTCTAATCTCATACAGTAAACTTATGTTTTAGTTTTCAGGTGCCACGATGAGCGGCACATGATTTGTATAGCCCCCCTTCTAATAAATATATTC